AGTTGTCGAGAAGATCGTTGAAAAGTTTGCCGGAGAAGAGGGGTGACCGGAACGTTCGCCGGAGCGGTAGGAGTGGTGAATGTAGGATGGGTTAATTATATTATATTAGAATTAAAAATTTTAAAAATTGGAAAAAAAATCTGATTTTGGAATTTTCAAATTTGTTTTCTTATTTTTGAAATAGGCTAAACTTATTCTCTTGAATATGAAATTTTCCCTAAATATAAACCGTCCAACTCGGCTACAGTATTGGGATCCGAACCTCGTTAACTGTTGTACCTGTCTTCACGTTACTTGCAACCAAGAGCCAAGTCACTTGCCTGTACGTAAATAGGTATTTGTGTATCTATCCGTGGATATGTGTGCGCATAAAATGCATTACTTTGTGGGTTGGTTTTGGAATAGAATTATTGGTTAAGTTTTGTACGTGATTAAGTATGATAAAGTGATATTTACAGTAATTAAAAGACAATATGGTTTGATAAACCATTTATGATACTGCTCATTAAAGGTTTTATCAAATTAAATCAAATGGTAATTATTATACATGTGTAAAATTACATCCCTGATTGTTAAATTATAAATTTTCATTTGATCCACCTATGAATAAATTACGATATTGAAGAAAGCCAAGAGAATAAATAAATACGAGATTTGAATTTTTTTTTTGAATAAAATTTAGTAAATTACGGTTACAAAATTGCATGTGACGTTCTTTAAATTTTAATGAAACTTTTCGTAGCGATTTGAATTTTAAAATTTGGTTCGTTACATTTATTATCACAACCGTATTAGTAGTCTCATCTAACAATATCCTACACGTGTGAGTTGTAAATGGATTAAATATCAAACTAGATTACGTTTGAGAGATGAACATAGTAATAAAAAGAAACTCAATCTCCCCCGAACGAACCAATTAGCCAAGAGAAATCATGAATCATAGTGGAAGAACTAGTCCCACTCATGAGTAAATATATCATAATACTTGAAATACTTTTGGATAACATCCTTTTTTGATTGAGTATGACTTTGACTATTCCCACAGCCCTCCAATTGCATTTTTCCTTGATTCAAATTGATTGCCTTCCTTTCTTCCCTTTCTACTTCTTTTTTTTTTTTTTGACGACAAATCTTCAATCTTAATGTAGGACAAAGAAATATCGTTTTCATTTATTAGGGTCAGAGCGTAAAGGAAGCGCTTTGGCAAATTTGTGAATCTGATTCCATTCCCAAAGATGCATGTTTTTTCTTGACTGATCTTATGGAGTTCAAATTAAGATAAAGATAGAATGGATTTCATCGGCCTATCAGCCACCAGCAAACAAACAACAGATGATACAGCTAGCCTACTTCTCAAAAAGGTACACCTTTCAAGCTTAGCCAAACATATGCTTAAATTTCCAACACCAACAAGCAATAATTAAAATATTGACAGCAGAAATTCAACCAAAACAATTTGAAGTCATACACCCATCCATCCATCATCTGGTGCAACTTTTCAAGTTGAAAACATAACATGTCCTTAATGCCTGCCTACGCGATTCACTGAACATCCACAAATCTAATTAGAATTTACAGCCAACATGTTAAAATGACCTGCCTTTTCTTTCACCCTACTGCCAGCCAGGAGTTCCAGCTTCGTCTGGAACCCGAGTAGGACCCTTGTTCCAACCTGAAGCTCCAGCTTCATTGTTCCAGCCTTGAGTTTCAGATTCGTCTGCAGCTGGAGTACGTTCTGTATTCCAGCCTGGAGTTCCAGCTTCATCTCGACGGCCTGTTTTCCAGCCTTGAGTTCCAGATTCGTCCGCAGCCGGAGTTCCAGCTTCTTCTGGAGCCGGAGTACGATCCAGTCCCCAGCGTGGAGTTCCAGCTTCATCTGGAGCAGGCGTACGATCCCGTTTCCAACCAGGAGTTCTAGCTTCTGAGGCAGAACCACGATCCTTATTCCAGCCGGTACGAGCTTGCTGCCTTCTATAATACTTGGGAATAAAGGCTTCGGCCTTGTCGGGATACTTTTCCTTGAGGAAGTTCTCCACACATTTACGGTAGGAAAAATCTTGCTTGGCATCATCAACAGAAACTGCATAGAAGCACCTACTATCCTGGAAATCCTGGTGCCTACTAACCTGTTAAATCAAGTCCTGAAATTAGCTTAAAACAAGCAGATAAAAATAATTAGAAAAACATCAAGGGAAAGAAGCAAGGGAGTCGACTGCAATGTTGCTTCAGTATAATTATAGATAACATAATTAAGGGTACATCACATAAAGAAACCATCTCAATCTCAAGCATGTTAAATATATGCAACACTGTCTCTATTTTGTCTATAATAAAGAACGGCGTAATTTGGTAAAAAAATTTACACAGAACTTAAAACAATACAAACCACAAATGCACATGTTTGCAACTGTAAACAAGTTAGCGTGTGCATGAATCATAGGACATATCAAAATAGATTCAAGATCAATTTTTTCCTTTGAAAGACTTTGTGAGCACAAGTTTGTTTCATATATTCTGATGTCAAAAATATCTTAACATTGAAAGCTCATATTGACTCGAGAAGAAAGACATGACAAATTATACATGAAAGATTCCAAAAAATATATACAAGACAACAGACATTTAACCGATTCATGCAAAACAAATTAGCATACCATGATATGCTTTAATCCAGCTCCCATCTTTGCAGCTTTATCAGGATGGTAATTCAACACATTATCCACCATGTATGATTGATCATCCCCTGATATAGGATCACCATCATTGTACCTTCACACAAAAGTTACTTGGTTAGATTTCAGATTCATAATTTTTTAGTTTGCCCTAACAAGAAATCAAAACCCCAAAATCTTAGTAAACACATTAATCAAAGGCATTCTACTATAGTTATTCGTTGCTTTTTTCCTCTTCTTTTAAACATCTTCAAGAGAATAACATGATAGAAGAAACTTATTCATAAAAATTGCTAAATATCGGTTCATAAATCCAAATATACAATTTTTTTAAGCTGAAAGAGATCAATGGGGGAATGTGTTTCACACGTGCACAAGCATATTTCTAGTCAATGGCAGTAGTGGCATATTTATACCAAATTAAATAAAATTGTAAGAATTCTCCAGCCATCTACGATACTGTAAATTATAGACAACTATGATGAAACACTATCTTATTTTTCAATAAATCTGAGTTCGGCTATATGAATTTTCTCTTCTACTGGGGTTTATCACTCCAAAATCTCATTAATCATGAAAAAACAAACAATAATGGAGTGTATATTTTTCTTTGTTTACATATCATTATTGCACATAACATTATCTCCAGAAGTACCAAAAACTGTACATAATATTATAATTTGAAGGCTGAGAATAAAATCAAGAAATTACCCTGTTTGGTTCATAATTCTTCTGATATTCTTCATAATTGCTTCAACATCAGAAAGAATGTCTTGTTCCTCCACGGTGAATAAATCCATGCGCTGCCTCGTCACTGTGAAGGTTCCAAGTGCACTGAAATCATCAGAAGAATCTTGTCTGCCACCAGAGCGACCCCTACCTCTATTGTTCTTCCAGTCTCCACCAGAGCGACCCCTACCTCGGCCTCTGTTTGAATCTCCTCTACCAGCAAAAGGTCTACGAGGGGTAAAACCGGAGTCATTTGACTCTTTTGGACTGGGATTCCAGTTACTGACTGGAGAATCTTTCTTTGCTTCCCTGGGAGATTGTGAATCAACCTTACCCCCGTCAATCGAAGAGCCCCAAGCATTAGAAGGCTTCGACTGACTGCCTTGGCCAGCCACTTTAGCTTCCCATAGATTATCATTTGAAGACAATACATCAATAGTCTCTCCATCAGCTGTAGAAATCAAGTGATCAGACTCTTTACCAATTTCATTGGATTTTGCAAATTTCTTACCCCAAGAAGACCATGAACCTGATCCAGCTTGTCCACCATCAGAACCCAATGTGTCCCAATCTTTAGCCCGTGAAGAGTCCTCCTGAGCTTTTGCAGGGATAACATTTTCCGTCTGAGCTGAATCCCGGCCCCAGCTGGACTTATTGTTATCCTTTGGGGTACTCGGAACAGCCCAACTACTTTGGTCTTTCTTCTTATTCCAACCCGTTTCATCCGACTCTCTGCCCCAGCCAGACTGACTGCTTGATTTCTGTGTGCCAGCATTAGCCAATGTATTTCGATCATCCCTTCCGCTCCAATCCTTCTCACCAGAAGATCTGCCCCAGTTGGACTGATTTTTTTGCTTTGCTGTACTTGCACTCGACCAATTATTCTGATCATCTTTTTCCATCCAACCTTTTCCCTCAGAATCTTGCTTTTCACCCCAAGCAGAAAAGGATACTGACTGCCCTTCTTGAATCTGTGTCGGGCGACTATCTTCTGTAGGAACATCCTTGCCCCAATTGGACTGACCACTAGATTTGGATGCATTTGCACTAGCCCATGTATTTTGTTCAGCCTTTTCTGTACGATCTTTTTCAACAGAATCAACCTTTTTCCCCCATGAAGACTTGTTATTCTTTGGAGAATCTTCTGGTTCCTTTACAGAGAATGCATCATGCTTCTCACCTTTATCAACACCCCAGCCAGAAGTAGTTGAGCTTTGGACTTTCTCAACTGCCTGCCCCCAACTGCCATCCAAGTTAGCATCCTTCCCATCTCTCCCACTTTTATCAACACCCCAGCCAGGAGTTGAGCTTTGGACTTTCTCAACTGCCTGCCCCCAACTGCCATCCAAGTTAGTATCCTTCCCATCTTTCTCAGCCCCCCAGCCAGAACGTGTAGGACTTTCGGCTTTCTTTACCACATCCCAACTACCACTATCTTTGTCGGTAACGAAAGATGTCTGTACCCACTCATTCTCATCAGGAGCAAAATTATCACCATCTTCAAATGTTGGCTTTTCAATACCAGAATCTCGGACTGGAGACATGTCAAATTCCATATATTCATCTTCCTGATCCAGATAATCAATTTCAGCGCCAAGGCAACTAGTACCCATATCTTCCTGCTTGGAGCTGCTGCTTACCAAATGAAGAAAATCATACACATTCAGTCCATTTTGTTGATTCAACTCGGCCTAGCAAAAAAATAGATTCAGACATTAGTCTCGTTGATTAATTCTAATGTAAACCACCGAAGGAAAAATTCAACATACTACCAAACAAATGCTTGTACCCCCAAAAGGGAAAACAAAATGATATCAGGAACTAATAACAAGTGACCCCACCTTTCTAGTGTCCCAAAGAATTTCAAATGGTGATCCTGTGCCAACAGATACATGTTTTCCCCAGGAACAAGAGGCCACAATGCTTGTCAAAGCATCAACATGGCACTTTTCAGCAGCTCTTTCAAAGCATTTTCTCGGGGTCTGAAGCAGAGACAAAGTTGAAAGATACGTTAGAAAGACAGATAACAAAGAATAGGTATGACATAATCCATATCAAGAAACAGAAAATGTTCTTACAAACAGTGTAGCCTCCATGAATGGTACTTGGAGATTAAGTGATCTTGACAATGATTTAATACCACCAGCGTTAAAACCAATCAGATTGCCACCACATGTCATGCTATTGGCCAACAAAAGGAGATGATCTTTCAACACGCCTTTTGTAACCATCGTCACTGATGTGGACAGACGCTATAAATTAAGACTAAAGGTTAACCTTTTGGAAAGATGAATAAGGAAATCTAAACAAGTGACAACAAACAACCAAGACTAAAATTTAGTGCCCTGAACAAAGATTACACAGGTTATATTATTGCTACAAAACTCTAAAACTGACTTAACAACTAAAAACTACACAATTATGAATCTGCAGCTATTGCAATAACACTAATATGAATCTAGTGAGAGAGACACAATTTCAAGCTATTGTCTGGGTCAAAGGCATCTACACTGAACAGTAATGTTTAAACTACCATTCTCAAAGCTATTGAATTACAGCAGAAGAATAAAGTGTAGAGCCGCCTTTTTAACACACCTAACTTACCTGGCAACTTAAACCTTGAAATGTAATAGTTCAGAATGCTACACAAATTAGCTTAAATGCAAGTTAGTCTATGCTTAAATGCAAGTTAGTCTACGCCCTCTAGAGAAGGGAGATTTTTTCCACTTCAGTCTTTCGGTCACTCTCTCAGAGACCATTAATAAGTCATAAAAGAAAGGATTGCCTCCCCAGGGAAGACCCGGCATTTCAGAATTAACTGAACAACCAATCCTAGATGCCAAACTTTGAATAAAGCACTAATCAATGTAGATCTCCAATATCATAGTTCTACTATACTCAAGACATGATAAGAACATGAAAAATAAATATTCCTAGAATGGTACGAAAAGGAGCCTACAGTGTGTCATCTGCAAATTGTAAACATGAGGCTGATGCCTTAGCCTTTAGCGTCTCATATCCTTGAGCAGATGCAGGTTTCTCATTTGCTATTTGCAGATGACACGTTGATTTTTTGTGATGCGGAAGTTGAGCAATTCAGGAATTTGCGCCGCTTACTTCTGTGCTTTGAAGCTATTTCTGGATTGAAAATTAATTTGGGAAAATCTGAGGCGATCACAGTTGGAGAGGTTGATAACGTGGAGGAGTTGGCTGATATTTTGGGTTGCAGGGTGGCGCATTTGCCTATGACATATCTCGGGCTCCCTTTAGGAGCACGTTTTAAAAGCATTCAGATTTGGAATGGTATCGTGGAAAGGGTGGAGAGAAGGCTAGCGGGTTGGAAGCGCATGTACCTCTCTAAGGGGGGCCGTCTTACGCTCATTAAGTCCACTCTGTCGAATCTCCCCACTTATTTCATGTCATTATTCCCTATTCCTGCTGTTGTGGCTAAAAGATTGGAGAGGCTCCAAAGGGAGTTTCTTTGGGGAGGTTTAGGGGAGGAGAGGAGATTACATTTGGTTAATTGGCGGGCGGTTTGTTCACCTATTAGATCCGGTGGTCTTGGAATAAGAAGTCTCGTACTGTTTAACAAGGCATTGTTGGGTAAGTGGTTATGGCGGTTTGGAGTGGAGAGGGGGAGCTTTTGGAGAGATATTATTGGGGCAAAATACGGCTTTATGGAAGGGGGTTGGTGCTCAGGTGAGGGGAGGGGTTCTTATGGGGTGAGTTTATGGCGGTATATTCGGCGAGGGTGGATTGAATTTCGGGATAGATTGACTTTTGTTGTGGGGACTGGTAATACCATCAGTTTTTGGGATGATTGCTGGTGCGGAGATCAACCGCTTAAACTGGGATTTCCCTCGTTGTATCGCATTGCGATGGAGCCGTCTGCCAAGGTGGTTGATGTTTTTGATTTCCATGATGGAAGTCCCAGTTGGAACATTGTTTTCTGCCGGGGTTTGCAGGACTGGGAACTTGATGACTTTGCGTTGTTTTTGACATCCTTATATGAGGTTGATATCAGGGCAGGAGATGGTGATTGTAGTAGGTGGAGGTTGACACGTGATGGGTTTTTTTCTGTTCGCACTTATTCTAGATCCTTGATGGGACCTACTCAGAACTCATTCCCCTGGAAGATGGTTTGGAAATGTAAAATGCCCCTCGAGTGGCATTTTTACTTTGGACAGTGGTCAAAGGACAAGTGTTAACGGTAGATAACCTTCGTACTAGAGGTTTCTATGTTACAGAGTGGCGTTACATGTGTAAGAGGGATGGGGAGACGGTTGACCACTTATTCCTTCATTGTGACGCTGCGCGTTTATTGTGGAATGATATTTTGATATCGCAACATATGGATTGGGTGTTGCCGAGGCATATGGAGGACACGTTAAAGGCGTGGAGGAGAAAGTTTCGAGATAAGGATAGCAAACTTGTTTGGGGCCTTATTCCGGGATGCATCGTTTGGTGTGTGTGGAGAGAAAGAAACAGTCGCTGTTTTGAAGACGAATCACGGACAAGAGAGCAGATTAGGGAGTTGTTTTATTTCACTTTGTATTCTTGGTTTAATGCTGTGGCAACTAGGCATATAGTAGGGTTGCCTAATTTCATGATGTTTCTCTCTGATTTAAAGTGATAGTACACTTCCTGTGTATTATGCTTTTTATATAAAATTTTGATTACCTTTCAATAAAAAAACAAAGAAGCCTCCTTTACCCTCTCCACCAGCCGCCATGGGAGATCTTGCACTAACGTGAACCAAAAAGGTGACATGGGATCACCTCGTCTAAATCCTCCCGAAACCCTGTTTTTACCCCTCGCTATGCCGTTTATAATGATCGGAAAATGAAACCATGCCAAGACATCCATTAATTCATTTCCTCCAACTCGTACCAAAATATTTCTCCTCTATGAAAGAATCTAAAAACTCTCAAACTACATGACCATATGCCTACTCAAAATCAATCTCAAGAATTAGGCCTTTCCTTGAAGCTCTGTATTCCTGAACTGTTTCATTAACTACCAACAATACATGTAAATTTGGCTTCACAAAGCCCGAAACGTTCCTTTATAACTTCAAAAAGCCTATTGTATACAAGCTCATAACCAAGCTAATCAAAAGAAAATCAGAAATTTTGAAATCTGGTTTTTTAGAATGAAGCACAAAAAAAGTGATTTAGTTGTAGCATCGACCAACTGAATATGATATAACTCCTAAAAACCCTGCCACAGATTCCCTCTAATAATATCTCAAAAATCCTGATAAACTCCCAAAGAGAATTGTTTGGACATGCACACTTATCATAATAAAAAATGACCGTCTTCATTCCTCTAGCTCAATGACTCCCTCCACCATGACTTTTTTACCCTAAATGGAGCACCGCTCTACCCCCGTTGACCCACCCCTGCATCACTCTCCACTTTTTCAGTTAATAGCAAACAAAAGAGTAGATGCCTAAATCTTAAGCATGTAAGCGAATGGGTATTCCATTTTTATCACATACCACATTTCATTACGCTCTGCGAAAAAAGAATGTGTAGAATAGTAATATATATACTGACTATCTAACCCCCTTAGAGATTGAAAATGATTCCCGTCATATCCAAACCTACCCACTCACCACCCTACCCTACCAACCACTCCACCGGCGCCGTTCATCTGACCCAGCCCCGTCGACTCACACCCACCGACCTCACGCCACAAATAGCCAGCCAAACCCCACAAACCTCACATGCGGCGACTGCAGAAAACCCTAGCACCGCCACCCAGATCCATGGAGGACATGATGACGCTCCGTCCGGCGAAGATGCAGAAGCTCAGGGCGACACCAATGAAGGTCGCAGGCGAGGAACTTCAGATCTGTTGGAGGGGAGTTCGAACCGGGTGGTCATTGTTCCGTCAGACCCGACACCCAATCAACCACACGCGCCTGCCCGGCGGACTGCGCAGGTCATTCCAACCCCGATAATGCAGGCATGTGGGAGACACGCCGATCCGCCGACAAGATGCAACGAGGCCGTTCAGACCATTGATTTCACCCTCAGCTGACTCATTTACAGGGAATTATGGGAAACATAATATCGTGGTGGGTAATAAGGTGTTCAGTTCACGCTTTAATGTTGAGGCAAAAGAGTTCGTAGTGTCTGTTACTAATTCAAGTGTTGTTAAGCTATCAGAATGAGGAGCGAAGATATCGGATGCAATTTGCATGGGCCGATTTGGTGCCGTTTAGGTGGTGAATATGGTGGATAAGTTGAGGGTTGCGGGTAAGATGGAGGAATTCGTCGCCAAGTTTAATGAGGCTTCTCGAGCTTTCCTGGCACAACGCTGTGCTAACAGTCATGGTAGGTTCTTGATGATAGCGCAGTATGGGGAGAGGCGTCGAAAGGGGACTATGGTGCCGAAAGGTGCGAATGGAGAGGGATGGGCATCGATTTCACGTGTTTTTCAGGCAGTTATTAATTCGTTTGTGGCCGGAGATAAGGTCAAGTGTCGAATAGCTGAAGAAAGGAATCGACTCGGGATGACTTATGCCAATGTTACGGCAAACGTATGGGCATCGCATAATACTGATCAGCAGGTGTTGTTGCACAAGGAAAGGGTAGAAAATGAGAGGATTGATCTGAACGCTGTATTAAGGGCTCGCATCCGGGGAATTAGACGAATTGATCAAGGTTGTGGATAGCATATCTACAGTGGGTTCCATGAACACTTATTGCCATAAGTGTGGGGCGGGATTGAATGAATCCCTAAACATTGGTAACATGTAGCGGGTTTGGATGTGAAGGAGCTATCATCGATAAGGGCTCAATGTAAAGATAAGCAGGTGGTGTATAAGCCTTAAGAAGTGTCTTCGACACGGATTGAAGTGCTACCTTCATCTGGTGTTGGAAATAAGGTCGAGGCGGAGGGTACAAACAGTGGTGTTATGAATCCAATGATCGAGCCATATCGAGAGGCGGGACCTTGGGCTAAAGTAGGGGAACCAGGCATTTCAAATCCGGATTTGGAGATACTGGAAACGACCAACTGTTATATGAATGAGGGCGCGTTGGGTGCGTTTCCACCTGAAAAGGGGTCATTTTGGATAGTGAGCAAGAGACTGACACTGTGTTGGTAGAAAGTCCAATTTCGACGATCGGGAAACAGCAAAGGACGACAGACTCAGCATCTATGGTAATGAACACCTATTGTAGGAGATATTCTAAGGTTCCGAAGGAATGGGATTTAGGGATTGATAATGCTTTGGTAGTGTGGCTTGGTGACGTCGAGAAGGGGGACATAGATAGTGAGGTTGTACGAGTGGAGGAAGATGAGGGACATTATTACGCTCCTATTTCTGCTGAGGAGGTGGCGAAAGTGAGTGCTTTTGACATCAAATCTCAACCTTCTAATTGGGTTCTTCAAAAAATTCTGGATTTTAAAGATGGTAGGTGTGTCATGTGATGGGCATGAAGACAGGCTGTTGCAATTTTTTGAGGATCTGAAGGCTAGTAGGGGTCAGCGGATGGGTACATCAGGAGGCAAGATAAGAAGAAAGGGTGATCGTGAGCTTAAGCGCCTTGAATGCTCGGTTAACTATAATGTCAAGGGAAGCGAGTCAAGGAGAGGCCTGATGGGGAGGGATGTCAATATGTTAAGATGACTCCAAAAATAATTAGTTGGAATGTGAGGGGGCTCAATGAAGCTGAGAAAAGATTAGGGGTTCGGAATTTATTAAGGGGATGGAGGGCTGACCTTGTTTGTCTACAAGAAACAAAATTAGAGGTCGTTTCGAGGGCTGTTGTGAGTAGCCTATGGGGGGGACAGCAGGTGGGGTATCAGTTTGCAGGATCATTTCGAGGGCTGTTGTGAGTAGCCTATGGGAGGGACAGCACGTGGGGTATCAGTTTGCAGGATCATAGGGGGCATCAGGAGGCATGTTAGTAATGTGGGACACTAGAGTTTTTGATTTGTAGGAGGTTAGTGAAGGGCTATTTTCTCTATCACTTTCGTTTAGAAATATTAAGGATAGTTTTCGGTAGATGTTTATAGGAGTTTATGGGCCTAATGTTGATAAAAGTAGAGGTGGATTGTGAAATGAATTGACTGGGATGATGACTTAGTGGAACCTCCCAACGTGTATAGGAGGTGATTTTAATGTGGTTCGATTTTCTACCGAGAGATCTAGTGGGGGGAGATTAACAAGGGCTATGGAGGGCTTCTCGAATTTTATCAGGAAGGACATGCTCGTGGATTTGCCTTTGATTGGGGGAGACTTTACTTGGTCATCTAATCGAGACCAACATGTCCATTCCAGAATTGATCGATTTTTTGTTTGTGGTGGGTGGGAGGCTAAGTACCCAGAGGTCACTCGGAGAAGATTGGGGAGGTTGTATTCAAATCATTTCCCTATTTCGTTATCTGGGAATGATAGGCGCAGTGGAGGAAGACCTTTCAGGTTTGAGAAAATGTGGCTAAAAGTAGAAGGTTTTGGGAAACAAGTTCGGTCTTGGTGGGCATCTCATAACTTCAGGGGCTCTCCTAGTTATGTGTTAGTAGCCTTTAACTTTCGTAACTTTTCACTAGAATTCTCCACCTTACTCCACCACCACCCTCTACAATGTATAACATTTTTAGTTACAGAGCGTCTATATCTTCTCAATCTATCCTCCCACCTTTCAGCTCCGGACCATTCCCTACTATCCCGCTCTAGTGGAGAATTAAGGGAAGAGTTGAGAGATTGGTTGAGATGGAGGAGACAGCTTGGCGCCAGAAATCTAGGGTCGAGTGGTTGAAAGAGGGGGACAAATGCACCCAATTTTTCCATAAGGTCGCTAATTCTAATAGGCGCAACAATTCTATTAATATGTTGGAGGTTGACGGGGTTACTTGTGAGGATCCACAGGATATCAGGACCCAAATGGTAAGTTTTTACCAGACTCTTTATCGTGAACCATGGGACTGGAGACCTGAATTGGAGGGGTTAGATTTTTCTACTATTGATGAGGAGGAAACTAGTTGGTTAGAGAGACCTTTTGGGGAGGATGAAATTAGGGAGGTGGTGTTCAGTATGAATAACGATAAGGCTCCAGGACCTGAAGGTTCTCTTTCTCATTCTATAAGGCTTGTTGGAAAGTGGTTCGATCAAATATGGTGGATGTCCTTACTTATTTTTTCCAGTGTGGGAGGTTTTTAAGAAGCGCTAATGCTAAGTTTATTGTGCTAATTCCTAAGAAACCAGGAGTGACGGATATTAAGGACTTTCATCCTATTAGCCTAGTGAGTGGGATTTACAAGATTATTGCAAAAATTTTGGCGAATAGATTAAAAGAGGTGTTGGGGAAAGTGCTATCAAAATTTCAAAATGCTTTCATTAAAGGGCGTCAGAGTTTGGATTCTATACTTATTGCAAATGAATGCAATGACTCAAGACTGCGTTTGAGGGTTCCAGGAATGTTATGCTAAGGCGATGTGGTTTTGGGTAAAAGTGGTGCCGGTGGATTCAGTTTTGTATCTCTACCGTTTCTTTCTCATTTTTGGTGAATGGCACTCCAGAGAGTTATTTTCGTAGTAACAAAGGCTTGAGGCAAGGGGATCCTTTGTCTCCATTGCTGTTTGTCATTGTCATGGAAGCCTTTAGTAGGAAGCTTGAGAAGGTTGTGGGGGAAAGTTTGTTGAGGGGTGTTTTTGTTAAGCAGCCGCAGGTTTCTCATCTATTATTTGCAGATGATACGCTTATTTTTTGCGATGCAGATGTTGAGCAATTTAGGAATTTGTGTCGTCTACTCCTATGCTTTGAGGCCATATTTGGATTGAAAATAAATTTGGGAAAATCTGAAACTATCACAGTGGGAGAGGTCGATAATGGGGAGGAGTTAGCTGCAATATTGGGTTGCAGGGTTGCACAACTGCCTATGACATATCTCGTGCTTCCGTTAGGAGCGCGGTTTAAAAGTACACGGATTTGGAACAGTATTGTGAAAAGGGTGGAGAGAAGGCTGGCAGGTTCGAAGCGTATGTACTTGTCTAAGGGAGGTCATCTCACTCGCATAAAGTCTACGTTGTCGAATCTTCCTAATTATTTTTTGTCATTGTTTCCGACTCCTCCTGCAGTGGCTAAAAGATTAGAGAGGATTCAGAGCGAGTTTCTTTGGGGTAGGATTAGGGGAGGAGAGGAAATTACATTTGGTTAATGGGGGGTAGTTTGTTCCCCTATAAGGGTGGGTGGTCTCGGACTGAGGAGTCTCACACTGTTTAATAATGTTTAATAAGGTCTTGCTGGATAAGTGGTTGCGGAGATTTGGAGTGGAGAGAGAAAGTTTCTAGAGAGACATTATAGGGGCAAATATGGTGTTATAGAAGGGGGATGGTGCTCAGTTGAGAGTCGTGGTTCTTATGGGGTGAGTTTGTAGCGGTATATACGGCGAGGGTGGAGCGACTTTCGTGATAGATTGTCTTTTGTTGTGGGGAATGGCAACACCATCAGTTTTTGGGATGATTGTTGGTGTGGAGATCAACCGCTTAAGGTGGGATTTCTTTCTTTGTATCGTATTGCGTTGGTGTCATCTGCTATGGTGAATGATGTATTAGATGTTCATAATGGGAGCTTCAGTTGGAACATAGCTTTTGGTCGGGGTTTGTAGGATTGGGAATTGGATGATTATGCGCTGTTCTTGACATCTCTGTACGAGGTACACATCAGAGCAGGAGAGGGTGATTGTAGTAGGTAGAGGTTGACACGGGACGGTTGTTTTTCTGTTCGCACTTATTTTAGATCTTTATTGGGACTTGTAGAGAGTTTATTCCCATGGAAGATGGTTTAGAAATGTAAATTGCCCCCACGAGCAGCATTTTTACTATGGACGGTGGTCAGAGAACAGGTGTTAACGGTGGATAATCTTCGTACAAGAGGTTTTTATGTCACAGAGTTGTGTTATATGTGCAAGAGGGATGGCGGACCACTTGTTTCTTCATTGTGATCTAGCTCGTTTATTGTGGAATGATATTCTGGTGTCGCAACACATGGATTGGGTGTTGCCGAGACGTATGGAAGACATGTTAAAGGCATGGAGAAGAAAGTTTCCAGATAAGAATAGCAAACTTGTTTGGGACCTTATTCCAGGTTGTACTGTATGGTGTTTGGAGAGAAAGAAACGACCGCTGCTTTGAAGATTTAACACGGACAACGGAGCAGATTAGGGAGTGGTTTTATTTGACATTGTATAATTGGTTTAATGCAGCGGCTACTAGGCATATAGATGACCTGCCTAATTTCATGTTGTTACTTTCTGATTTAAAGCAATAATACACTTCCTGTGTATTATGCATTGATCAATAAAATACTCGATTACCTTTCAAGAAAAAAAAAAGTATCTCAAAACAAAGAAATGATTTCTCTTTCAACATCCTCATCTTCTCGAACACCTCACCTCCCCCAAATGAAAAGGAAATGATACAAAAGTAACAGCAGATCTTCAAATAAACAATGATTCAAAAAAAGACATGCAAGTTCTATGAAGTGTACATATCTCTGAGATGACTGAAGATGCAAAAGAGTGAGAGAGGGAGAGAGAAAGAGGGGCAAAAGATATATGAGGATACCTGAACAGCCTGCTCGAATGCACAAGAAATACCAAGCAACTCTTGCACTTGTTTTATAGCATACGGAATCGAACGCTTGGTATCAATCAAATGGATGACCGGCAAGCAGGAGTCCATGACTACCCTCCAGGCATCGCCACTCTTCCTGACAGCTTTTTTTTCAAGAATTATATCAAGAGCCAACTCACCCTTTTGGCTCTTAAAAGGGCTCCTGATTGAAGTTGCATCAGAATTAATCCAAATTACATTTGCCACAGAAACCATAGGATCACCTGTTAAATATAAGTCCACAGTCACAGCCTCTTACAGAGAGCAGTAAAGCACAGTATGCAAAGGAATAGAAAACAAGAAATTTGAGAAGTATTATTACGGTAACTCTTTGAACAAACTAGTATACTCCCCAAATGGACATATTACATCCTAGGTCAAATATAACTAGATATTATACAGCACAAAGAAAAATAGAATATTTCAGATTTGTTTAAATAATAAAAAAACAGAAATAAATCATATAAATACCTTTAATAATTGTTTCTAACAACACTGGGCAAACTGTATCAGCAAGAATATGAGAAATCCTCTCTAAATGATCATCATTTGCCCCTATCCAAAGGAACTGCAAGCACGGAGTGTCGGTCCACTTGCTTTCAGCAGAATGGCAAAAAGAACAACAATCGCTGCAGACAAGTAAAATATGTCTCAAAATCTAATATTTCTGTGTTTGGACCAATTACTGAACAATGAAAAAATTATGCTAAGCTAAAGAAGAAATCAATCAATCAGAGAAAAAGAAACGAATAATTTTGCAACTAAAATTACCTTATCAAATGCAGTCTAATCAAGTATACATAGATGCTATGGGTTATTTTCCTATTCTAATCCATTCAGCAATTAATTAATTTGGATGCGAAATTTAAGAAATCATAAAATATTATACCATTTGAAAATTTTCACTTTGCTATTGAAATACATTACCCAAGCTATTTCTCTTCACTAAAGACGAAAAGGTTCTACATCATCTTTAGTGCAATTACAAGCAACAGCAGCACATTCATACAAGAAATATCAGAGAATCAAGCCCATATGATTGCAATGTTTGGACAGTACATGACCATAAAGTTTGTGCTTGAAAAGTTTGGACAACAAAAAGTTGGAATCATGAGAATATTGCCAATATGTTGTGCAACGTTACAGAAAGGTGGGTTGCCAACCATACTGAACAAGCCCCAAATATCACATTTGCTTCTCTGTCAATGTATGTAAATATACAACACCTCTTACAAACTAAGCACTACCCAATATAAATTTGAGTCAGCATGAATCCTTTCCTTACAGTTCCAAATATTCCCTCTTCATACATGATTTCAATCCAATAAAATAAAACGATTTGCAATCATTTTTTTTTTTTTTTTGAAAAATAATCAAATATTTTATTAATCAAAACTTAATACACAGAATGTGTGTCATCAATACAAATCAAAAAGAAACAACATGAAATTAGTCAGCCCATCTATATGCCTAGAAGCCACAGCATTAAACTAAGTGTATAATGTCAAGTAAAACAACTCCCTAAACTGCTCTGTTGTCCGTGTTTGGTCTTCAAAACAGCGTCCATTTCTTTCTCTCCACATACACCAAACAATGCATCCCGAAAAAAGATCCCAAACAAGTTTGCTATCCTTATCTCGAAACTTTCTCCTCTATGTCTTTAACATGTCCTCCATACGCCTCGACATCACCCAATCCATATGCTGCAACACCAAGACATTGTTCCACAGGAAACGAGCAACATCACAATGGAGAAATAAGTGATCAATCGTCTCCCCATCCCCCTTACACATATAACACCACTCGGTAACATAAAAACCCCTAATGCGAAGGTTATCCACCGTTAACACTTGTCCTCTGACCACCGTCCATAGTAAAAAAGCCACTCGTGGAGGCATTTTACATTTCCAAACCATTTTCCAGGGAAATGAACTCTCTTCAACTCCCTATAGAGATCTGAAATAGGTGCGAACCGAAAAAATACCATCTCGTGTCAGTCTCCACCTGCAACAATCATCCTCTTCCGCCCTAATGTATGCCTCTTATAAAGATGTCAGAAACACTGCGTAATCATCCAATTCTTAGTCCTGCAGGCCCCGACCAAAAACAATATTCCAACTGGGACTCCCGTTATGAATCTCCAAGGCATCATTCACCATGGCCGACGGGTCCATCGCAATACGATACAAAGAAGGAAAACTCATCTTAAGCGGTTGAACTCCACACCAACAATCACCCCAAAAGCTGATTGTGTTACCATTCCCCACCACAAATGTCAACCTATCCCTAAATTTGCAATCATATCAAGCCATGTTAATTTTCATCTAATCTGACAGTTCAGTCGAGATCATATTACTCCTGTGTAAATGGGAATATCTTTATGTCTACACAAGACATGCCTTAACGACCCAAATCATCATATGCTAACCTTCAATCTATCACTCGCGTTATCCAATCCTATAAGTAACATCCTCTTCAAGTCCTTGTTAATAATTGAACCAAATAACTTCATCCAGCGCCACCAACCTATGTTGCATAGATAGGTTCTCACAAGGAACTACTTCACAATCCTTACACGATGATCCACCGACATTCCTATGAAGGATGAAACCTAAAACCTATATGAGTAATCCGTTGTCCCTTTATTGAAATTATTAGGGTGTAAGTCTCTTTTTGAAGCACAAACTTGCCAATAATAAATCATAAGTCATCCCAAAGTCCAAAATATTATCTTCCTCAGTTTGATCCCAAAGCCAAAATTTCAGTGTACTTCACATTTTAAGTTACCTTTCCTTTTGTAATGGTTCAAGCCTTCCCCAACGAACCTCTTAATTTAATTAGGGATTGTCTGGCCCATCCACATAGTGCCAAAACTGTTAGGCTACATAGGAAGGTGCAAAAGATCATATCAATCACACCAATTATTAGTACACATTATTATCTCTTGCATAATATCATAAAACTTAGGTTACATCAGCCAGTATATTATACTTGCACACTTCGAAATGTATGGACATCAATTTTATGATAATGTTCTGCATCACATCTGTCATAAGTCAGCAACAGTTTAAAGACAGAAATTTACGACCTTTTGGGGAAAAAAATTTAGGTGGAAAACCCACAGACCAAGTTGCAATATGTATATGAAAACTGAATAAATCAAGATGCATGTCCAAAAACTATAATTGCATGCCCAGCAACCAAAAACCAACCTGAATGATAAATCTATTCTCTTAAACAGATTGCCAACTTTTTTCTTCTTCTGACATAGATTGATGGTGTCTTGACATTTTTCAAGAATATCATTCATGCTAATATTTGACTGTTTCAGCTGTGTCTGCTCAATCAAGAGAAAACGAGAAATATTAGCCACAAAATTCTGAACAAAATAAGAAAACTGCAATATCCTTAAAATGATGTAAAAACCTTGTTGAGATGCAGGTGGCCAACAAGGCCAGCACCAATCTCAGAACTATCACCTGCTGTTTCAGATCGTCTATACCTGTACAGAAGAAGCAACAAGAACAAATGATATTCTCATTAACCACCTTAGTTGAATCAACGAACCCCTCTTAAAGTCAACATTCCAACAATCAGAAAAACGAGGACTGTAAGCATCTAATGAAGGATGCATCATAAACAAGGAAAAAATTTATAACAATGTTGAACATCACACTACAAACAAAGCACTATATCATTATCTTGATGGTAATTAGTATAACTGTCTTGCCATCCACGAATGTTTATGGGCTGACAGAGTCAAAAATAGCCATGGAAGACTGCAAGTACTTGACAGCGAAAAAAAATTTCAAATGTAATAATGGCAAAATATTCGAAATATGTGCACAAAAAGAAAGGTAAAGAGAGCATCATTGTTTTGGGATGTAAGAGCGTGCGAGTTATCTAAAATTTTCTTTCACGAAAGAACAAACAAGGTTATTCATCTTTCCCAAATCCAAATCCGAGCAAACGGTATAACCCCAACCAGAAATGGTTACATAAAGATCAGGGAGAATTGTGAAGAAAGAGTTCATTTAATATTCAATTCATGATAGCATTTACCTACAATTAGAGCAATAATTAAAGAGTTGAAAAACCTTATTAGGTTCTCATATGGTAAACTAACATAAGCAATATAATCACCAAGGCTAAGTCCCAAAAGATGAGAAATGTTGAGAGAGGAACTGGGGCATACTCTATCAAGAAATCGACTGATGCATCCTTAAGACTAACTTTCGTCAAATGATTCTTGACCACACATGCCGCATTTTCTTGGCAATACTTTCTTCCACAATCACAATCATTTAGATATAGCATTATCCGTCGATCAGAACTATCATTTTTGAAATTGACTCCACAAAGCAATATTTCCTGAGCTCAGAAGCAGCAGGGAAAGTGTCAATAATTTGTCATAGTCAAAATTAAAGAAATTTAAATCGAATGCATTTCCAAATTCTAAAAACACTAGCTACCTTCATCATCTCCCACGAAGAGTTACTACTCGGGGAAGAATCAAGAACCGCCTTGTATGCAGGATTTGACATGGCAGTTGCAGCTAATACACCAACTGGATCACCAGTGGAAAACTCACTTGCAATATTGGCACTGTTAACTCCATATTCAAATTGAAGGATGGAGTTACTGCTCATATTTCTCACTGTGCCATCGTGGCAAATCATAACATCTCGAAGGACGGCCATCAGATTCTTGAATAATGTTCCTGGTTCAGTTAATCCTCTAGAGGATCGGACAATTACTTCTCTACTGGAGATTGAATGAACCATTTCCTGATATGGATCCAATCCTTGAAAGAGGGGTCTACCAACCAACCCATATTTCTCAGTGGGATAGTTATCCCTGGAAGGATACTTGTTTTGGAATAGTGATGACATAGCATTCACCAAAGTCCCAGTATAGAACTTCCCCTTATCTTCCAATTGCAACCCCAAGAATCCAATTTGTTGAACCACCTTGCTGAGAGCAGATTCACTTTTTGAATCTATGAGATGGCCTATTGCAGAAGATTTGAGTATGAAGTCTGTTACTGGTTTTTTCATACTGCGCAAGTAATTCTCCAACTGCAACGCAATAGATTCACTATAACATGCACGCAAATCATGTACCAATCGAGAAACCTTCTGAATATCAGCTTGGATGTTCTTCAAAATGTCCCCAGGTATGAAAAGATCTCTTAAACTGACACTGAACCCTTCCGAGTAGAGATTGTCCATCAACAGGGGTTGTAGAGAGTTGAAAAACCCCAGAACCTCCTTAGGGCCCTTCAAAAAGAAAATTGATGTGACTATGTCATTGACAATGGACTGCATCACATCCCTGTTAAACTCAACTCTCAATACATCACTTTTACAAATCGTATGTCTCTCCCCAGAACAGTCAAAATTAGGAGGTAAAGTGATCTGCAAAATCTGTGCAGCAGTCCAAAGAGGGCCAGCTTTACAAGATTTCAACACTGCAGGTTCAGGTAAAGAATGCGGGGCAAACATCGCCAATTGTTGTGCTGCTGCTTTGCTCAAGTAGTAGTTTTGGAAAATGAGTTTCAGAGATAGAAGTGAATCAATTCCCAGTTGCAGGTTGAAATTGCCGGTGTGAGAGCTAAGCAGCTGTTTCTCTACAGAGAAAAGCTCTACCACTTCTGCTTTAGCTTCAAGAGACTGAGGATAAAATAAATGGATGCAATCCCCATCAAAGTCAGCACTAAGTGGACCACAAATGAGGGGATTGATCTTGACTGTATGATCATCATGAATATAGACTGACAGAGCTTGGAGGGAATGCTTATGTGTAGTTGGTGGTCTGTTGATAAACACTATATCTCCATCCATTATTCTACGGTGCACTATCTGTCCAGGTTTCAAAAATGTATGCCCCTTGGACCCTTCCCTCAACGAATATGTGGACAGGCCATCCCTGTAAGTTAAACAAAGCTTTTCATCGACCAGTCTTTGCAAGTATTCCATGTTGTGCTGGTTTACTCTCTCCTCAAAGGTGATCTTTTGGGCTATTTCGAATGGTAAACCAATCTCAGACACGCCTTTGAAGGAATCACCAGTTATCACACTACGAGAAGAAAATCCAGATCCCTTTCTAATAAACAGAGTTTTCATCTTCTCAAGCCAAGCTTTAGTAGAAGAAGCATTTATCTCTTTACTGACTCCGAAACGTGTATCCACATCACGAGATGCCTGGTAGAGGAAACAGAAATTGAAAAGCAACAAAGACAATTAGTCAAAACATCAATTACAGCAACTTGATCGCAATATATAACCAAGGAGGAAATCCCATATAAATTGAAGAATAACGTGCTGGGCAAGTGAGAAATAAAACATGCACAAAGCTACACAAGTACCTTGCCCGTGCCTCTAAACTGAAAATACTGTGCTACAGCTGCCTGTAAATCGTTGGCTTCAATTTCATGAGATTCAAAGTTTGGTGTTCCAGATCTAGAATTTTTTATGACCTCTACTTGTTTCAGCACTTTCTTAAGCAGAGTTATAGAATAATCCTGAGCAACATAACAACATGATAATGACTATACGCCAGCACTGATAATAAGGTTCGAGCAGGGAGTAGAGATCACAAGAATGTCTTACCGTAGACATAGTACTTATCCCATCAGAAACGTCTGGCACGGACAAACAGTTTGGAGGGACTGGCAAGTGTTGCAGGATGTATCCATCTTGAGGGAAATACCCTTTTGCATCGAGTTTTTTCCTAGTCTCCTTAGGAATTTTTTTCAACATTACCATCACCTGACAGTTACGGAACAAAGTTTGATCAGATCTGTGCTATGCCGCCTGGCAGAAAGATTCAGTCATTTACAGAAGTTACATGGTAGATGGCACAAGTTCCGAGTTCAGAATTTAATCAACAAAATCCAGCCCTTCTTTACATGTTTCATGCTAAAAATAATATGTAACCATAATAGCAGAATGAGGCGCATTAACCAAAAAGAATAGACAAGGATAGAAAGCCTTAATCTGCATGTGCTCATGACGGCACAACCAAATGGGGAACGTAAAAAGGAAGAATGAAAACAACAGGGAACTGCACTTCTGTGAACACTGGAAATTAAGTCTTTGTTTGGTTTTCCTTTTTAGTAGCTAAAATTATAACTGGTAGAAATGAGTAGTGGATAAATGAGTGCTGCTTGTAGGCCCTATGAAATGAGCCATTAAAACATATGTTTGACTTTGAAAACTTTTTAGCAACAAAAGGAAACCCAAGCAAATGCTAACTAGAACAATTTAATATTAGGTTCATAATCTTAGGGTGTAACAAACAGAAAATATAAATAATCCACTTAATAAGGTGAGGGCAATCCTCCCCTAATAAGCCGGTTTTATTAGGTGGAGTTAGGCCCAATATTCCTAACACCAAGAAAGAGCAAGCTCAATAAAGAAAGCCAGATATTCCATTCCAGCCCCCAGTGGTCTTTACAAATATACAAATAAAATTGAAAGTTTGAGATCATGCAGAAAGGTTCAAGGTGTGCAATGAGATAATAGCAATGAAATCCTAATGGCAGCGAACATGTGCTTCACATATTCCTTCATGACTCATGGATTAAAATCTATGAAGGTGTTTGGTGTGAATTAAAATTAGACTTTTAGTAGATTGTGATAAAATTTTTTGAAATGTGTGGTTGAAAAGTTGTGGGACCCATGAAAGATGTGGTTAATATTGATTGTTTGACTTTGACTAGGATTAAAATCAGATTTTAATCCGGACCAAACATGGGCTATAGATACTAAACAGTAGCGTGCTTGGGCTGTTGCAGAAAATAAAATTCTAGAGTGACCAAACAACGACCATAAACACAACCAAGTGGCCTAATAAATTGGCAGAACAATATGATGAGGGTAAACAAACACTGGCAAACCAATCAATGCAGTAACACTATTGGTAAAATCAAAATTCTCAATCTATAATATAACAACTTGTAATTAAAAAATACACATGCAAATATGCAATAACACTAAACCTAAATCCAATTAAAAGATAAGCGCGGATTAACCTCAGAAGGAAGCAAAGCTCGAGAATAGCTACGCCCGTATCGAAATCCATATTTTTCCAAGAAGTTCCAGAATCCTTCTCGAACTGATCTTGATGGTATTTTCAACTCCAAGTAACAAGCCCCATCGGTAGTCCTGACCTCGTTGATTGAGATTTGTGAAGTCTCCTGAAAAAATGAAATACAAAACCCTCAATAAACGCCTCGAAAAATTTCACTAATTGATTTGTGATTGGTGATAGCTGTGATTGATAAATAAATTAGTTCAATAAATATCATAAACAATGACTTCAAATTTAACAAATAAAGATTAATTCCATTCCATTAAGAGGAAAAAATGATATTGCCTTGCAGTTTGACAAAACTGAACTGGTGGATAAGGGACCATGAATAAGTTTCGGACAAGAATCAGAACTGTATCAAAGTTATGAAGAACATTGCTCAAGAGAACAAGAGGTCCTTTTAAACCATAAAAACATCCATGTTCAAAATAAAATAAAATAAAAAATACATCTCGTTCTTCCGAAAAAAAAAAAGAACTAAAGACAAAGGAAAATCCTTAAACTACTAGATATAGATGCCCATAAAAGGCCAAAAACTTGTGACGAGGCAACAATCTTTCACCATCTTCCAGCTGAGACATACCCAAGGATGAGCAAATGAAACCATATCAATGGTCGACCAAAGCAAGAGAAAAATGTACATCGTATGAGAAACCTAGTGCTATAGGGGCATTGGTTGGATTACGTAATAATGATAGATGCTAGTGATCCAATGGAGCTAGTAAAACAAAATATAATATCCGAACATCACCCATGCTGCCACAGAGATCAGCTTTACTGTAGATTGCAAACAGTGCAGAATACTGTAAAGCTCCAATTTAAATGCAAAATTAATAAAATTTCAGTTAACACATTTCAAGTTCCATCTTGTGTTCTTTTATTTCATTTGAGATCACAGAATCAACTTAATCTTGGACAAATGCTGAGAAAAAATCTAATAACTTAGGTCTAAAAAGGTCGTACCACAAAACTACTAATGGTAAACACACAATATGAAGCCTTGTTTGAACCCCATTCTTTAAAACTCATTTTTCCCCCCAATTCATTTTCAACCCCACATTCTTCCAATAAAATAATTTTGCAACTAAACCCAAAACTTACATTTTAACCACACATGCTCCAAAAAAATAACTTTTTACAAAATATATTCTCAAAAAATTGGGATCAAACAGGGGCTAAATTATATAGAAAAGTATCATATAGAAATATAAATCCTATATTCAACATTCTTGAAATCATCAGACAGTTAAAAGTACCTCGCAACATGAGGATAACACTCTTTCGGCAACACCAATATTCTTGACCTGAAATTGAAAGCCAAGAACCCAGTAAGATGAAGCGCGATGATTAAACAATGGAATAATTCAAGGCAGATCAGTCAAATCAAAATGAAAATCAATATAATGAACGAATCAGGAGTGTGACAATGCTTTTCCCTCAACTATCTGTTCTAGATTGTGATAAGAGTAAACACAACACAACGTACAAGTAGGAGATGAATCATAATATATAATGCGTATTTTCAGGTATAACAAATCAAACTAGAAAAAGCAGGTGTCTTTTAAAGTTTTCACAACAAGAAACGAGAATGTAAAATAGCGATAAAAATAGATTTTACAGCAGGATTGATGCAGATTGTTCTCATTACAGGTATATTAACAATATCTAGTCTAGATCCAGATAGCAAGCGGACAATTTAGAGTGCTTAAACTTACTACCAAACAAGACATGGCTTTCGTTTTAATAGATCCTGCGAGACAATACAACTTACTTTGTACACAAGAAGTATCTATGGGAACTCATACCTTCCTATTTTTAATCTTCAAACACTTCAAGCACAACAAGCTTAACATTCTTTTCAGTTCACCAACATGGTCAGGATGATATATTGGAGTTGGCAATTCAATGTATCCAAAATGGCCTGAATATGTTAACAACAAACCAAAAGTTTTTAGAACTTGTATCTTCCGAAAAATGTGAGCAGTCATCTTATTCTAGACAAAAAAAAAAAACTCTGATTATGAAAAGCTCTTATTCTTTAAACTTTTCATACCTTCACATTGCCCCGGCTCAGCAGTCCCGCAGGACTCACATCTGCCGGCTTCAAGAGGCAAACCAAGGAAAGGATTGGACAGCTGGCTAGAATGGCTGATAGGACAGTCACTAATGGATGCTTTACACTACTCAAAATATCAAGAAACAATTACTTTTCCACCAGAAAAATCAGAAATGGCATCATTCATTGAAATGGTTCACAGTAAAGTGTAGATTATCAGTTGAAAGCAATTTTCTAGCTTCCTATGAATAAGAGAAAATTGATTATAATATTAACCACAGCAAAACAAAGGAAAAGTGCTAAACTCTGCCATTATGATTCTGAAGTAACTGGAGATAAGTATTTCAGATTCATGTCATTAAAACTTTTCCTTTTTTCCTTCAGAAAATTAGGACAGGAAATTTTTGACTGAAAAAAAATAAGAGAAAGAACCACTGCCTCGTGGGCCCAGCCAACCCTCCTGAAACTTAAACTGTTCAAAGAAAGGAAGTGAAGGAATCATATATACTTACAATTTCTTGACTGGTTGCCAACCCAAATCGGATTCCTGTTATCTTAGCATCAAAAATTGTAGATGATGGACTTTCTTCCATTCCCTTTAAACACCTGATATTATGGAAGACGAAATATATTCCAATCAGCAATCAGTAATTATTTGGGGAAAGTAGAACACACGAGTATACAACATTTCAAAATGAGTGTAGAAAGCAAAATATGAACCTCAGAAAAAAAGTTATATAAACAAAACTCAGTTAAGGCGAAAACAGCAGACATTAAATACGTGAAGCAGAGAGGAAAACAACCCTTCTAAACATCCAACTTCCTGCGTCTATAGAGAATAAACCAATTCTGTTTTACATTTTGACCCAAAATGGTAAAATGTGGAGAAGTGTTGAACAAAAGTTTAGAGAATTACATTTCGTAGAATATATGGAAATTAAAACACCAAAAAATCTCACACACCAAACCCATGTTTCAACCTCCAAAAAAACCCAAGAAAAGGGGGAGGGGAAACGAAACCCAAACCCACTATAAAACTCAAATAAATTAATACATAAAAAATAAAAAGCCATCGGAAGCAAAAACAATTCAACGAAAAAAAAAATTTTTAAATCACACGGATAAATTTAAGAATATAAGGAAAGGTACATTTTCCTTTTTCACGCCAGAGAAAATAGACATTTATGTTTACAAAAGCTCATAAAAACACAAAATAGACAGCAAATCGAAGCAAAACACACATGCAAATACGTGAAAATCCACTTTTAACCCATAGCGCGGGTTACTTCAGCGCCGTAGCGCAGTGTACTAGAACATTGACTTGAGTCAATTACCTGCCCATTCTTACCTTGAAAAAGTAAACTCTGGAAGTACCGTTGTTTCCTCTTCCTTCGGTGCTCTTTAGAGGGTCGCCCAATTAATTGATTCACAATTTCAACAGCCGAAATATGCTTGAGAAAATATGGGTTTTTAGAGAGAGAAAGAGTGATGCAAAAGGGGTTTTAGAGGTATTGTTTGTTCACTGCTGTTGTTTTTGTGCACACTGTCAAAAACGATTGGATGATAATTTAAAGTGGCACGTATTCTTTCAAAACTCAAATTCAACCATATATTATTAAATAAAATAATATTTTTCATCACATCAATAATTTTTCTTTTTACTTTTTAACTACATATTTCTCATCATATCACTATTTAAAATGCATTCTTTCCTCAATAATATCAATGAAACACACCCTAAATATTTCATTAGTCCCTACACTTGTACATTCGTTGCGTTTAATATTTTCAATTAGTCATAATCTTTAATACGATTCATTTCGTCACTCACTTACCATATTTTATAAGTCATTAAATTTAAAATATTTTCGAGTGATGATTGAACTTTAATGTGTAATACTCATTCATCATGTTCTGTTAGTCATAAAACTTATATTTGCATCACACTTTAGTCACTAAACTTTAAAACGCTTCTAAATGGTCACTGAACTTTATAATTTTTCGAGTAAAATTGATTTTCTATAAGATTCAACCTAGATCCAAAAATAAAATAAATATCGTCTAGATAATGAGATTTTTAATCTAAGACCAAAATATTGATATTGATCAAGAAAATATAATTTTTTTAGAGGTCAAAAAAGAAAAATTATTTCAAACGGAAAGAAGAATGCTAGTTTCAAATTGACATAAATCATAATTTTTTTTTTCTTTACGTCGAGAAAATAAAATAAAGAAATTATTTTTTTATTTCGATTGAGATCGTGGACCCAAATCAAGAATTATAAATAATTATATATCAATCAATCAATGAAATTTTTGATTTAGAATCAATGATATTAATTAAAACTAACAAAATATAATATTTAGAGTTATCACAAGGTAATTCAAAAGGAATGAATGGCAATATCTTAGTGTGTGATATTTTATATTTCAAAATTGAACAGTACACGAGTAGACTGTACTCTATTGACTATTGATTGACCAAACCACTCTTCAAAACTAGAGGGATTTACATTGGAATTGTTTCGAGACTTGGTGATTCCGACGGGGTAAAATAAGTACGGACAGCATGTAGAAGGACGAATTATGTGGAACAAAATAACTAAATTACCCTTTCAAACACAGAAAACTATAGTCGTACACGGAGTATGATAGGGATGTTTACATGTATAAAAAATGTAAGAGAAGAATTATGAAAGTATTGAGTAAATCTTACATTGCATGTACTATTGTAAATTTTGAGTTTAATTAGGAGAGCACCGAGTTAATCAAAAAAAGTTTGATAATTCAAATTTTGGGAGGCATGGTTGAGTACTTGAGTGTGATATTTTTAGTAACAATCATGGGAAATTATAAAAACTCAGGTGCTTAAAGTTTGGAATTCAAAAATCAGGGACTAAGTTTTATCATTCAAAAATCAGGTACTATATAATAAAACCTAACCCTAATTTATCACTCAATTTCCCTCACCTCCCTCCCTCCCTCTCTCTCAGTAACCTCTCCCTCTCTCGCAGTCAATCGCTGCTGCGATTCACAGCTGCGAGTCGCAGCCACATCGTTGTTGCCATTCGTCGCAGCAGTCACATCGCTGCTGCCATTCGTCGCAGCAACGATTCGAGGTGCTGTTGCTGTGAATCATTGCGGGGGCCCTGCTAGCGACTGTGGTGTAGGTCGCTGCTGCTAGTGTCGAGGTAAGTGGGTTGGCTGTAGTGTGTGGGTCATGTCGCTATTGGTGTGTTGGTCGGCTGTTGGGGATCGACTGTGTTGGTGGATTGTCTGTGGGGGGGTGTGGGTCGACTATGTTGGGTGGTGGTGATGGTGTTTGGGTTGGATATTTTTGCAGATGGTGGTTGTGGCGGATATGGATGTTGTCGTGATGGTGGTGGATATGGCTATGACGAGTGGGGGCGTCTGTAACCAACTATTTAATCGTCTGTGACCAACT